ACCCCTGGCTCCCTCGCTTTGCCCCACTCGGTTTTCAAAACAAATCAGTCTCAGTCGCTCTTGCGTCATCTCGTTCTGCATTCACTGCAGTCCGACATTGGAAATTAGTGGTCGTAATTCTCAAATTTTACATAATTTATAAGCCTCGCCACCCGTGCCGCTAACTAGGGTGGCAGCAGTGGTGGCAAGGCTTTCATTTAGGGAGGCATTTGCCACCCTATGCCACCCCAGTAGATCTGCCTATGTACCAGGGGTAACCAATTAGAAATCAGCGGGGTCCAAATAAAGAAAATTATCATCCAGTAAAGGTCCAGAGACATTTTTAATTATAATCTGTTGCTTTAAACAGAATTTAACACTGAAATAAAGTGAGGTGTTTACGCATCCATGTTATACATTGAATTTTTTAATAAAAAAAGAAAATGTTTCCATTTTAAAATATAAAGAGTTTTCTGAAGTAGAGAACAACAATCCTTCACTTTGGTATATAGACAATTTCCTGACTCACATTTTTCATAAAACACCTGAACTGACTGTTTGTTGTTTTTTTCTTTCTTTTTTCTGTCTTAATGAGAGCAGTGGGCTTTAGGCTGCCCTACAAGGCTTTAAACCTGGGTTTAAATGGCGACCTAGCCATTCTAAAGCACATATCAAGGTGCTCATTTTGAGCCTGGATCCATATTTATTTTTTGATTATGTTCATGGTGGAGAATCCTGCTTCACAGCAGCAGGTTGAGCCAAACATACTTAAAATGTGCCGGGTCATCTTTTGACCATCTTTCTCTGCTCTCTTTTTCTCATCGTCTTTTCCTTCTTTCCCATCGCCCATCTTGCCACATGTTTGCCTGCTGTTTCTAAAAGTAGCAGCAGCAGCAACCCTGACTGACAGCAGCTCATTGGCTAATTTATATCATGTGCAACCATATTAACAGGAGAAGCGGCGCAATGAAGTTAGACACTCTCATCAGACATCATGAACTAATTCATAAATATTTTAAATCAGGTTGGGTCCGGATTACCCAGGAGGTGGGTCTGGATCCGGACCGCGGTCCGCTAATCCGTGACCTCTGTGATAGACCAACAAAAATTACCACAAAACTGTAAGATGAAAGAAAGAAGGTCTTATTTTATCCACAGACAGTAATCTGAATTGTTTTGATTAAGGTGTAGACTTTGACTAGACCATGAATGTGCTTGTGGGTATTTTGCTCCCTTAAATGTATGTATCCCTTGAATCTGCACAAGACTTGCTGCAGAGAGGCATTCTGCTGCCACCACCTTGTTTTACTGTGGGGATGTAAACATTTTTTAGTTTGGAGCTCATTTAGTCTTCCTTTTGAAGGCCTAAAGGTTAACCTTCCATCTTTGACTAGAGCATCTGCTTCCACCTTTTTGCTGTGGAGGTGGGTAAAGTCTCCAAAACTTATGCTCAAGTAAAAGTAAGAAATAAGATACCCAGAAGAATTAGTCAAGATAGAGTAAAAACATATTTTTACTCAACTTCTGAGTAAAAACAACTGATATTTAAAAGGATAAAGACAGAAATATGAAGTTATGTACAACTTATTTAAAAGACTAAATAAAAAATTGATACAATAATAAAATAGCTAATTCAGACAGAACAAACCTCTGAAAATGAATTATCAGAGTAAAAATGGAGGAGCAAAAAGTGAGAAATTTACTTTAAAATGATTCGTTTTCATTTGTCTGTCAGGATGGAAGTAACATTTCTTATAAATAATCGGTCCTCTCATTATCAACGATTACAGTCTTTCCCCTTTCAAACCTAGAGGTACGGCGCACAACCACTTTGGTAAAATGTGTAGTTTACTTCCTGGTTCCTAAGCCAATCATAGGAGAGTTCCCAGGGTTGCTAAAACAGAACAAAAGGATCAGCTGTCTTCAAACATGGCAGTTAGAAAGAGAAGTGAAACAGAATCATCTGAACAAAACCTTTGAAACTTCCTGTGGCTGAATCTTCTTTTCTTGTTATCTTGGATTTAGCTGAGCATCCTCGCCTATCTCGACTTAGTAAACCCTGTATTGTTCTAACTTGAAACGCTCAGTTTCATTGTTGCATAACCAGTAAGTTAGAACAGCGCAAATGAAATATCCACTTTTAACTGTATGTTTATCTTACCTCTAAATAGCTTCATAACTTACAAAATATAACTTCTGTACGCTCAAGAAATAAATAGTGTCTCTGTCTGGTACATTTATGGTTAAAAAATCTTTAATTATTATATAGAAGTTAATGAAGGTGATTAGAGTGGCCAGAAAATATAGCCAAATAAGCATAGTAGTACTTCTTGATGACATTACTAAAGAAAAGGAAAATAGTACAGTGCTGTAAACCTTCTCCTTAAAGTGCATTTTGTTAAAAAAGTTACTCAAGTGTAACTTAGTAATTGTAACTAGTTACTACTCAAATCTACCTGTGTCCTTCCAATGTCCTGTGGTTTTTCTATTACCACTCTTCCATTAAAACGATTTGGCAAAACAGCTACTATAATACTGAGTAAATTATCTTATCATGTGATATGTTATTTAAAAGATATTTAATTAAAAAAAAAACAACATAAAAATGTGACAAATTCTAGTATAAAGAGGAAAATAGAAGCTATACAAAAAAACCTTATTCGTTATGCAGAAGAAACTTTTTTCTGCATATTTTTCTTTTAAATAAGAACCAATATTTACAGGAGGTCATCTATATTTGTTACTGCATACTTAATCTCCAAATGGCTGATCGATTGAAAATAACAGAAAAAAAAAATGGCTGTTCATGCAACATTTCTCATTTTTAACATAAATGTAGGTGAGTTTATTTGATCCATTTCTGGTTAAAACTAGTCAGTTTGAAGCAAAAAATGGGTTTTAAAGTTTCAAGTATCACCATTCTTTTGGATATAATTCATTTTTAAATCCTTTGATTAGATGATTTTGGGGGGAATTAATAAATTATTATAAGTATAAATTAACATAGTACCTAATTAACAATAGATTAGTTTTTACAGACTGCCTACCTTGAGCCGACCCAAACGTGGGCGCCGTCCCAGTAGGTCTGTGCCCTGTATGATAACCAGTCCAGTCATGCAGGTGGACTCTGTTTACCTTTTCTGAGACTGCTAAGGGGAATTGGTGACACTGGATTTTATTTGGAATAGCAGAGTTTTATTTGCTTGCATTAAAACTCATGCATCCCTTTTATTTCCCTTTATTTACTTGTATTACATATATTTGTGATGGTCTGCAATGTTTAAAAAGAATATATTAAGGTTTATGATTGTAAGGAAATAAATCTGAAAAGCTTCAGGAGTTTAAATACCATAACGAAGCACCGTCGATGACCTGACAGACTGGGATATGCAGGCTGCAGTCTGTTTAATGATATGCCAGCCACCTGTCTAATGAAACGCCTTGTTAGGAAAAACCCTCCTGTTAGCTGTCAGCTCT